ATATATAAAAATATGTGTTTAATATAACCCGATATATACGGTATAAATATATACTTGTATTTTAATACCCCTAAACATAACACAATACAATCCAAAATTATATATTTAGCGATTCTCTCTCTCTTTCTCTCTCTCTCTCTCTCTAACTATTATATAACACCATAAATACAATACAAAACCGTATATACCTATTGTCTACATGGAATAGGTATATGAATTGGATGTCAATTACAATTACCTAAATATTACTTTATTACAAAATAACCCTAATATAGTATGTAATGTAATAAAAAATAATATAAAATGAACAATCTTTATGATTGATGGCCCTGGTCAATAATTATTCCATCATGTGCATGTCAGTTTGTAGGCTGGCAACTATTTTTTGTACAAAAATAATTTTTAAATAGCATTATGGCTATTTTATAATTCAATTATTATTGTAATTATTTAATTAAAAACAATAGTCTGTGAATTAAAAATGTAAAATTTGACATTATTTCTCTATAATCAATGAAAATATGTGTTTTCTAATTATAATAATAATAATAAAATTTAATTATTTTTTTAAACAAAACTTACTAAAAACTCTGTTATTTATAGTATTAATATACAAATCATCACTAAATATATTCGTGTGTTTTATACAAACGTATAAAATATATGGTAAAAATTGCTCTCTCTCTCTCTCTCTCGTGTCAGTCAGTCATCTGGTAATCAACGCTTGAAACGCCTATCAATTAATTGATGAGCAGAGAGAGAGAGAGAGAGAGAGAGAGAGAGAGAGAATGAAAGCTGAAAAGTATTAATTAGCATTTTAACATGTAAGATTATAAATTTCTGATTAACTTTTACTTGTATATTATTTTATTGTTATTGTAAATGTTTGTTGGTTACTCTACCCGACACGCAGTAGTTCCACTCGTCCGAGTTTGGATGCCAGTGGAGTTCCCGGAGTCCGCCCGGTTTGAGCGTAATAATGACGGCCGCGATGTCGGTCACCGGGAAGTTGCGTTTGTCAATGATTTTGGCCGAACCGCCCCATCGCGTGGCGTTCGCCGGTTGGGCCGACGCGAAGTACGCGTAAGATTGCGGTACTTCACCCGTTTTCTCGGCGGCCATCTCTTTCTCTTGCATTAGAGGTCGGGGCAGTTCGCTGGCGAATATGTACAGCTCGTGTTGGGGCAGGTTGTCGAACGTGGATTCTTGCACCTGGGTAATAATTTAGTGATTTTTGTTTTGTTATATGTTGTGACAATCTGGTCACTCTACCTGAAAGTTTTTGGCTAGCACATCGCGGGGCACGTGGCGCATCCAATCGCTGAGTAAAATGTTTCGAACTCGTTAAAATTGCCATCGTTAAATACCAGTAGGAAAAAGCACCCGTCTGGTCCTAAACCCTGATGAATAGAAAAAATAAATAGTTAGTTATTATTTTTCATTGTACAATTTATATTAAATCTACATTATATAATAATTAAATAGTACCTGATCAACAAATAAATTATATTTTTATAATGCTTTAGCATTTATAAAAATTATAATATAATTAATGTAAAACCGCAAATATTTTTAACCATTGTGTTATGTTTTATGCTTAAAAATATTTACATGATTTTGTATATCTACACAACAAGCAATAACTGGTAACTTTACTTGTAGAGAATGTGGAATACCGCCGGGGAATAACCACAAATCGCCCTCGCCCACATCTTCCACAAACGATCTAGCTTTGTCATCCACGGCGGTGATTCGACAAGTGCCCTGGATCACATAGGCCCACTCGGAAGTAACGTGCCAGTGCATCTCACGTACGCCACCCTTGATCAATCTCATTTGTACGCCGGCCATTCTGCGTGATAGAGGCAATTCGCGTACAGTGACCTAGGTGCGATCAAAAAAAATAATTATTAACAATACTAATTATTGATATATCAAGCTTCGTATGTATACTTTATTTAAATGTTTATTTAATAATTATTTTAATGTTATATTGTTGTTAATAAAATCTAAAGTATGTAAAATATATACAGTAAGGTATATAAAAGTAAAAGTAAACTTTATATAAAAGTAAGGTATTCCATGATTTAATATTTTTAATATTAATACTACAATTTTACAAAGCAGATACTGTCAAAGTGTCTTTATAGTTTAAAATATAATTTACAACAACATGCAAAATACATAATGTTTACATTGTTAATAATCAAATAGGATACCCACCTGTCGCGTCCAACCGCCGCTATAATAGGCGGTGCGGCTAAAGGCAAAGGGGTATTTAAAAGGGGGTACACTTCCGGCATCAGTAACAGGGGGTTGGGTTGATGAAGGGTTTTGGTGCTCGAGTTGCAGGTTAGTAAAGGGCACTAAATTGACATCGGCACATCTAGCAACAAATACACATAATGCAATAAATGCTGATAGGTGAATTGTATAATCCATTTGTTAATTTATTTTGGTAAGTTTTTCACTCACTGTAATAATAAATTTATTCACATTGTTCATACTTGCTCGCTATATTATAGTATATGCATTTATATATTTAGTTATTACTTTTATATAACTATTACATTTTTATAACTTATATATATTTTGTTAACTCGTTTAACAAAATGTAATTTTTGCAGTTTTATTGTAAAAGCTGTTTATAACAAGTATTATTTATAAATAAGCAAAAAGTAACAAAATTTGTTACATATATACACAATATATACAAAAACAATATAATGTAGTTTAATTAACTGTCCCCAAAAAATCAATGTAAAATATATTAAATTAATGAGAATGAAAGCGAGAGAGAGAGAGAGAGAGCTATCAAATACCGGTAATAAATAATAAATAGTTAACCGAAAAAATAAAAATACCATAAAAATAGGATTTAAAATAAAATTTTATTCCTTATGTGTTAAACGAGTAGTCAATTGAATATTATTTTTGAAAAATTTTAAATATAAATTTATTATTCATATATAAATCAATACGAAATGAACATGGAAATAAAAAATAAACGCAGCATATATTAATAATTCATTTATTATTGGTGGTGGCACTAAAATAGCCTAAAATATTTATGATAATCAGTTATAAATCTATATATGGCGAGAGTGAAAGTGAGTTAGGTCAATCGGCGAGTATTTTTGATGTGCACACATCTGAATTGACAATATTTTACATTAATTAATTTTACCGGAATTGAATTACACATGTTTTTTGATTAATTATAAATTTATTAATTAAATAAATAATTAATATACAAGTAAAAGTTAATCAGAAATTTATAATCTTACATGTTAAAATGCTAATTAATACTTTTAATAACTAGCTGGGCAAAATAAACATATTAGTAACACATAATTTGATCTATCTAATTGCACAATTAACCAGAGGGTATACCCCCTGTGGCATATATGCATAACCCCATAGCCTGTAAAACAAAACGGTTAATTATGTTGATTATATACACATACAGGCGCTGTCATTGACTCTCGTATATTATGTACACTAGTGACCAAAACTACTAACAAAATGTGTGAATTTTATAACATAATTAACGCAATTTACATGTCATCTAAGTTTGACTTATTATCTAGGTCTATTATCTCAATATTATGGTTTACTGTATAAAACAATACTCGCATAATATTATATTTTGACAAACAAACGCTAAACACAAACATAAATACATTAACTGTGAAATAGTGTACACAATATATGAATGAGAAATAAAACAAATATCACTCGAAGAATGAAAACAAAACACAATTCAACTAAAAAACCGAAAAAACATTTCATTTTAAACGAGTATTTGTGATAAAAGCATAAATAATATCTCAAAATATTTATATATAGTTATAAGTTATGCTCATCGTCTGTATGTATATATACAAACATATAAATTATATACATGTATATATATAAGGTACATAATGTATTTCAATAAACACTATCTCAAACTTCTGGTATGCCTTATAGTGAACGCCGAGATTATTGACCCGAAAAATATATTTTGTGAACAAAATATTTATGTATTTTTTTGATTGGAAAATAAAAAATTTTATGTCAAGAATATATTGAAGAGACTGTCAAAGAGTGTATTGAGAGAGAGAGAGAGAGAGAGAATGAAAGCTGAAAAGTGAAAATTGAGGTGAAATGTGCACAATATTTGACGGACTATTGTATAATTTATATACACATCAAATACAATACATATATAAAATACAGTATAGTTTTTGTATTTATAGCCCATTTGTTGCTATAAATAAATCTACACTATTGTTCCCAATAGTGAATTGTCTACCAAGACTGTTATACCGTACGGTTTTAATAGTGTACTTATAGCTGTATAGTGTACGCTAAGAGAAATCACACAATGTCTATTTACACTGACAACTAGAATTTAAACGGACCTAGTTTTATTTGTAACACCAATGTGCGATAGTTAATTTTAAATTGTTGTCACCATATTATTCAAATTATAGCATTTTAACCATTTATTATTATTAGATATTGATTGATTAAATTGGATATAAAATACTATTTATTAAAATATTAATGGTCTATTATGGTAGATTTTATTTTGTTTTTTAATTGTACGTTGTGAACTATTGTAGTTTCTAGTTATAAGTGTTATAGATAATTTTTAAACTTTTATAAATAAATATCTAAATATAAAATAAATGTAATATAATTTGATTGTTAATTAAAATGTAAAGTAATTAGAACTGGTTATTTAAAAAAATAGTAGCACATCTTGTACCAAATTAATTAGTAATCTTTATTATAAATATATAATTAACTGCAAAATTAATTTAAGTTACCAAATGATAAAATTTTGCAATGTGATAGGTCATTTGCGGGTATTTGAATAGCACACATAGCATAGCAAATATGATTACTATGTAATTACTATTAATAGACTCGGAATTTCTCGCATATATTTTATGTCATCAATTTATTTATTGCTAATTTTTTGTGTGTTATTAGAGAGAGAGAGAGAGAGAGAGAGAGAGAGAGAATCGCTAAATATATAATTTTGGATTGTATTGTGTTATGTTTAGGGGTATTAAAATACAAGTATATATTTATACCGTATATATCGGGTTATATTAAACACATAATTTTATATATATTTCTTGTTGTAATTGTGTCTCTAAGAGAGTGATAGGATTAGAGAGAGAGAGAGAAAGAGAGAGAGAGAGAGAGAGAGACCCATAAATAAGAGGTGGGAACTACTCATAGAGATGTGCGAAAAGTGGTAACTATGTTGAGGACAATAACTGGTGTTTCCTTTACCTGAGCGATGAGAGTGCGAGAGTGCGAGAGTGCGAGAGAGAGAGAGAGAGAGAGAGAGAGAGAGAGAGAGAGAGAGAGAGAGAGAGAG